AAGGAAGTGAAGGGATTGCTAAAGAAAGGGTACAACATTCCTATTATTCATCTTTAATGATAGCTCTGGCCTGGAAACTGCGGCAACAATTAGAGACAGATTTGGCAGACTCAGTATTTGTTAAAAGTGTGTATATGCTCATTTTTAAAGCATTTTTACACAAGCTAACAATTTGCCCTGCGTGTTATAAATGCAATCTATCTTTCCACTGCAACATATTTAGGCAATAAGTGTCGGTAAGCCAGGCAGTTTATCCCATAAGGCTCACGAAGCAGGGCAAGCGAGAATAAAATGCGAACCTTGGAGATCCAATGAAATTATACAATAGTTTTCCCAAACTGAAATAAATCATTTGTATCTCTCTTTATCTACTTTACTCATCTAGATATTTTAATGCAACAAGTCTTCGAGGGCTTTGTTGAGTCAGCCTACTTTGTCCTCAACCATTTTGGTGTGTCACAGCGGAGATTTAGCGTGAGGGGGTTGGGAAATGATCACTGCCTTTTTTAAGCTTAGAAATAATTGTAACTCTAATAAGACAGAACAACTTTGGTAATCAAAAAGGTCTTCTCCTTGCATAATAGCATGACTAGGTTTCCTAACTTAAACAAGCATGTATTAATAAAGAGAGTTTTAACCAAATTATGTTTAATCCGATCTTGTAATAGCATGTTTAAAATTTTCATTATTGTCATTTACAAAACAGAGCTAAATTTAAATATTTTTCCTATATTTACTTTCCTATCTTGGGGTTAAGTTTATTCCTAGACATCACTATTTCAATACAGAAAAAAAGGAATAGAGTAGATGGGCTGTGAAGAATAAAGTTTAATTATAATCACTCATTTAATTATTTAATCAATTAGAAATATAAATCTTTCTAACTAGCTATATTATCAATTAAATAACACTGAATGTAGACTTTTTTTTAAATCCACAAAGATAATTTGCTTGTTAATATTAAAATACTATTCTACATTGGGGCAGAACTGTTCTCCACGATTTATTCCTCACCACTGTCTTGTGAGCATGAACCCCTCATGCATGTGGGAATGTGTGTGCCAGTTCACACACACACACACACACACACACACACACACACGCATACCTGGTGGGCTGTGCCATTCACCCAGCCAAACCTCTGATGAGGAAGAAGTACTCTCACCTGATTCGGATCCCAGAGGAGTATGACCGTTTCTCTCCCTGGTGAACTCTGTGACCTACATCTTTCTAATGAAATATACTCCCAAACATGAAAAACTCCTCATGATGTATGTTCTTTTCAGGTACACAGGTTTGTGTACATAATAAGTTTTGTTCCCTTTCCTGGTTTAACATATTTACCGACACAAAGACAACGTTATTTTTCCATGTGATTTGGTTCTAGATACATCAGTGACCTTGAATTTGATATATAGACTTTATTTGGGGTGTTAGTCTACAATGACTTGTATGTGAGATTTACCTTGGTGGCTTGATGTGTTTGTCATTCCACATTCAATTTTCTCTTATTTTGAGGAGGCGGGGGGGAGGAGGGGAGGGAGGCAGGGAGTAGCATTGCAATGGGTAACACAGTATTTTTCAAAAGAAAATTTAAGGAAAACTAGATGTAATATTTCACTACATGTAAAGGGAGTTCATGTAACATGCCATACTTAGATGATAGCAGAGATATAATAGGAGACTTTTCTAAACAACTTGAATTAGTTTCAAGTGTGCCATTTTGCATTCAAATGCAGAAAGACACGGAAACCAATCCTTTATTTTCTATTAGAAAACAGCCACTGTCCCCTATCTCTCATTATGGTGCAGACTACAAGACCTAACAACAAAAATCCATATTATTGATCCAGCCAAGTCTCCACAATTATTCTTTAGAAGGAAACGCCGACGATAAATTACATCTGCACTGGCTTTTCATCTGCTGTTCGATATAAGTGATCTCTCAGGGCAGGCTGGAGACCTTAAATCGTCAACGCCCTTGTCAAGGAAGCTGAGCAGGCCTGGGCTTCCACAACTGCTGCAGAAGAACTTTTAACCTATAATTTCTAACAATAATATAGGATTCTTGGCAATCAGAAGAACATTTGGGAATGCTGATTAAAATTTATTTTTTCCTTGAAACAAAATACTTTTTGAGAGATGTGAAGAGAAGGAAGACCAAGAAAATAACAAACAGCTCTCACTAGTACTGCTCTAGTGAGGGAAGGAGAGAGCTTGAATGCACCTGGAAGGAGTTCGGGCCCACTGCCCCCAGATATTGCAAACATGTCATAAACACTGACCATAGCAGGTACTCAGGGACATGTTTGTGAAGGTCAGAATGAGAGTCCTCCGTACCACACCTAGCACAGGTGTATATTCTGTGTGTGCTTTCCATCACTTGGTTTGAAAATCCATACAGTCCTTTAAATGCATAGTGGCTAAATTCAGATAAGTCTTTTTGTACTATTATCAAAAATTCTTGAATCTGAAAGCATTCTGCTCTTAAAAGAAATAATGAGTGGATTAAATTTTTTTAAAGGTGCATAAAATGGAGACTTAATTATGTTAAAAAAAAATATGATGGTGCTGAGTTTATCTCAGTAATAAAATACAAGACCAGTTCTCCACAAATCAAGAATACACCTAAAAAGATGTTTAAACATATACACATATATGCACACACACAGCAGAAATTCGCTTTTAAAAAGGGAATTTGTCCTGTTTAACTGTGCACATGCAACACCCAGCTCCACACACACACACGTTTAAATGTCAGTTTAACGCTACCCTCTCATTCATGCACAGTGAGCTGATACCATCCTCTTTACTACAGAATTACCACAATCTTAAAGTCTGCAAGAGGGAAATCATTTCCATGGGCCCGTCACGCAGGGGGCAGCACACCTGTATGTGTCCTGTAGTGGTCTTTCATGGCGGAGGCCGTGAGGAAGGAGTAGTGACACGTGGGCCATGTACACTTGAAAGGCTTTTCTCCCGTGTGCAGCTTCATGTGGTTGTTCAGGGCCCACTTCTCGGTGAAACTTCTATCACACAAGTGGCATGTAAATTTCCTGCATGAAGAAGAGAGAAAAGCATGTAAACGTGACCTGCACAGGCCCCCGAAGGCCCCAGCAGCAGCATATTCTAGCCCTGAGTGGGGCGGCGCAGGCTCGGGGAGAACCGCAGGCCGGGCCTGTCATGTCTGTATAACCAGGCATTGATTTTGCTGTCCAGGCCTGGCACTCCAGCCATTTATTCTCTGCTTTGCGGTTGGGCCCAACGGGTTTGAAAAATTCTGTTACAGTCCAGTCACCCCTGAGGCAAATGTGAGAATAGATTTCACCTGTACAGGCCTACACCACTTATCCAGGGCATGGGCTGTCAGAGCAGAGGCTAAATGAAAAGCTATCCATACTAAACTACTCAGACAACCCCTGCTCTCTGCAGGCGGAGGCGGCTGCTGCTGTCTGCATGGGAGCCCCCACTGCTCCTGGAATAGCAGTGCCCCTGCAGGCACCCAACTGCCCCCACCACAAAGCTCCCAGGAGAAGAGGGTCCCAAAGGCATCTGCCAAACAAGATGTCCTTCTGAGTCACCACATGGCTACATAAAAAGTTGGCTTTAATAAGAATAAAAATAAATTTATAAATTCTTAATAAAATAAGCTTTGAGAGAAATAAATCTCAATTATTTTCTATATGAAAAACAAAACACACACACACACACACACACACACACACACACACACCTGAAATTAACAAAGCAGTACTCACACTAGAAATATTTCAGCCCCAGAGCCCACAGTTAAAGATATCTTCAATGATCAAGGCAATATGAACCATGAACAAAACAGTTAAATATTCACTCTGATTAGTCTTCTGTCCTGTTTCACGTTTCACTATCACTCATGAAACCACTGCTAAAATTTACTTTTTATTACTAATACAATTTAGTTTAAAGCCTTCCTTGTAACCACTATAGTAGCGTCCAACTAATTAATTCAGGATAATGAATAGTCAAATAAAAGCAAATTAAAGCAAATATTCAAAATTATAATATTTTAATAAGATTATAAGCAGTATGCCACAGAAGAGAAATTATAGCAGGTTGATTTGACTGCCATAAATTGGTCTATACTTTTAGCAAGTTAATGCAAAAAACAGGATTACAGTATGTGTTTTAAATTATGATATAAATATAGAGTTGTATATACTTTGCATAGAGGCTTTAACTATGGGTTTACAAATGTTCTTCATCTCATAAGGGTAGAAAAAGAATCTCAAGCTTCAAATAATTAACTTTCTCATTTTGGGGTAAATGTGGATTACTTTAACAAATTGCTCATTCAGAATTTCATATATTCTCATGCAATTACCTTTTATAAAAATCCCTCTTTATTTGCTATATGTATTTATATTTATATAACATTAGATCTTAAATGCAATAGGAGTGAAAATTATTAAATATTTTAGAAGTATCATACAAAATATCTTAAGTGCTTCATTACTATTAAAATTGCCAATTAATATATCTATATAATGTGTGACATTATATTTATACCCATTAACTCAGACTGACTTTGAAATTACTACATCATTTGATCATTGCTTACTGGTACTAGAGAATGACAAATATAGCTAAATACTTTGAAATGCACCGTAAAAAAAATATCATATCCGTATATCTCTTTGACGGGTCTTCATGCATTTAACATTTCAAAACCATGACAGGGATCTTATTTCTAAGATAAATTCCCCTATCTACTTATTTCTTCATGTATTTATTGTGGATCTAACCTTCTCCTACAAGAAATAAATAAGGAGGTTAAATAGATGCTATCTTTTAACAAATAGTTTCTCTAGACTGTATTACAACTTTATGAATGACAAAATAAATCCCTCATTTTTAAATCTAGCATGATGTACATTTAACAAAATTACATCTATGAAACCTCGATGCATGTGCTCTATTATTCATACGTAATAAAAATGTTAAACCAGAGCTTAGTGCCTGCCATGAAGTGACAAAAGCCAGATAACAAAGAACTGAGGCCATCGCTTGACTTTCAAAAAACCTCGAGTCTTCCTGTTTGCTTTATGAACATAAGTGCGTGTTCTGGTGGCCAATGTAGAGAGTCCTTGTGAAGATTAAGACACCAATCAAAGGGGTATTTCCTGGGACCCCATAAATTCCGAGTTTCAAATACTGTAGACTAGCTGCCTTCGTGCAGCAGGTCAGCAAGGACAATACCCACTGAAGGAGCCCTGGCCAGCTTCAGGTATGTCTTCAGGATTTGAGCTAATGAGCAGTGCCCCAGGGACCCAAGGAAAGGTGCGGCATGTGTGGGGGCCCAAGGAAAAATGTCAGTGTGTGTGGGGACCTAAGGAAAAGTGTCAGTGTGCAATCCAGGTGGAGCCACAGGGACCCAAGGAAAGGTATGTATGGGGGGACCCACAGAAAGGGGTGCGCTGAAGGTTACCAGGGGTTCAGGTGTCTACTATGCTAAAACTTTTCGAAGTAAAGCCCTTTTGCAGGTAGTCAGCTGTGTGCTGTGGAAGTAAGATGTTATCTTTAGTGTAAATTCACATGCTAATGAGTCGGCTCAGACTCCTGGCAACCCTGCCAATGAGTGAATGAGTGATGTCCATCATGTTCTGTCCTCAACAGATGAGCTCGGCTCCTGTGGACTCATGCCTACGGCTTCATTTATGGGGGCATTCCATCTCATACTTGGTAAATTTATAAAGTTTCCTAAATTAAACTCTCAGCATTTTCCCAGCACTCTTGCTATATTTACAGTAGGTTTCTTTATTTACTGTAATATGTGCTATTTTGTCATTAGCACCCCCAATACGTGGAAGGCCCTGGGCCGTTGTTCTCCCCTGTTAAAGCCAGTGGGGGACCCTCTATGAGTCACTTGTAACATGACTTACACTCACAGAGTCAAGGTGAAAATCCACATCTCTAGACTTAAAATTTTGAGAAGAGAGTACTAAATATCCTCAATGTTAGATTTATGACAAAAACTGAAAATTTTCACGGGGTGTCCCTGGCCATTATGTACAAAGTTAAACTAAAAAACTAGTAGGGGGCTGAATTATGACTGCATGAATAACACCGCTCCCTTAACAGATACTATGCTTCAGCAGAACTCTGTGAGAGCAACTGTTTGTTTTAAATGTCAAAAGGGCAGACAAGGTATGTCAAAATATATAATTTGCATTTTTAGTTGCATCCTTAAGGTTAGTTTTCCATTATTCACAGAAGCCAAGTGTCCTAACAGGGGAGCTATACTTAATTTCTCAAATCATATTTTAAAATGTTATTTCAACATGTAAAAATCCTACCTAGTTGGATTATTCATTCCATTCACATAATTTTTAAAAATGCCCCTATCCCACTTACATATGAAGATAAAAATATTTTGATGCTCTGGTACTTTACTACCTTATAATATTTAAAATATAGTAAGATGTGTCACTAGCATATTTTTATGTTCTTTACTAATCTCTCCAATTTAGGATAACTTGGAATCTAATTGCTTTGGAGATGCTTTTACCATTATATTGCACTATCTCTTTCTTCTAGAAAGCCTGTCTAGGTACACAACTAAGAGACTCTGGCACAAGTACAGAAGTGGAAAAAAATTATCCCCATTCAAATGTGAGCAAACTTAAATGCCACCAGGGGAGAAAGTAAATAATAGATTTAATCATAAAATAGAACATCATCGTGCAGGTAAAATTAATCAACTAGTACTATTGTATATCAGTATATGGATTACACCATCTCTGAAACTTAACAGCATTAAAACAAGTTAGATACAAAACTGTACTACTGATATAAAATTTTTCAAAGAAAGAAACAATATTAAATATAGACATATGAAATCCACATGCAAAGACAGCCATGGTATCATAACCTGTGAATACTGCTTGTTTCTGAGAAAAGGGGGGCAGGCGTGCATATGGGAATAGAATGTTAACTATAACTGTATGATTTTGTTGTTTTTTTAAAAGAAAAAAATCTAAGTGTATAGGGCCATATGTTAACATCTTCCAAAGTGTTTCTATCGTTTCTGAATTTTTTTCCAAATTCAAAATGAATATTTTAACTAAACTATCAAACAATATTTCATATCTTCTCTACATGACACTTTGGACCAGACTTGTCAAATTAATAAGTCACACAAATTCACATCTGCAAGAAAGAGTGCAGCAGTAAGCCAGATGTAGTATGGTAAAAATGAAATTTAATAGAACAAGCTAAATTTTGTCAAGATATTAAACAATAGTGCAGTTATTATCTTTCAAAACTGTGAAATGAAGTTGTTGACTGATCCAAAACTAAACTGATGTTGCAAAAACTTAATTGACAAGTATTGCTGGTCTTTATGAATAAACACAGAATACAGAACAGTTAAAAAAATACCAGGTTTGTATGATTACTAAGTAGCAAAGCACTCCAATGTACTAATAAATTTGTACCAACAACTCAAATACTACCAATGCTCTTTTTTTTTTTTTGAATAACAGTCTTTTTAAATTTATTGTAACTTAATAATTTTATGATACTATAATAAGAGATAAAATGAAAATAGAACATGATGGGGTCTTTGCCCATTAGGGTTACCATATGAATTTCTGCTGGCTACAAATGTAACTCAGGACTCACTTCGTTAAACAAAGAAACACATAAAAAAGCAGTTAAAGATAACCATTGAAGGGCAACTACAATGCTCAACTAAGTCACATGAGCATTTTATGCTAAAGATAATAAAGCCAAAGAGAGAAGTTTTAGAAAGTCTTCCAAGATAACAAATGCAATACCTATGAGCACCAGGACAGGGAGGGGCCTGCACAGGTCTGTCCTGGGAAAGAGCAAAGTTAAAGGTACAATACTGCCTTGCAAAAAGGTGCTAAATCCACATTAAGAACCCCAATATTATCCCACAGTAATCATGTTCATCTTATTTCTATGAGATTTCAGAGTACTATAAACATGTTTCAACAAAATATGCAACTTTAAACTACCTGTAAAATAAATCTCTTGCTGTGTTCTCTAAATTAAA